GACTTTGTGGGACAGATGCATTGAAATGCCTTCAGCACAAAACAAACCTGAGACATAAAAAGCCAAATAAATTAGTCCTTCCCAATTTGAAGCTTGCAAAATCATAAAGGCACCACCAAATGGATTGTTTAAGTTTTTTTCCTTCATTCTGCCTCTCACAAATTAAAGATAACTTTCTATTTACACAGCCCTTTAATGTCAAGGACTTAGTTTGATCTTTATTATTGTCTTTTCTTATTATGAAGGGAAAAGTGTGGGCATTCTAAGCAAGATGACTCTGTAACTTCACAGTGTGATGCTTCTTCTTAGTGTCAAATGCATAACAACAATAAAAAAAGAATAGATAACTGAAGATATACAAGAAAATATCTTCCCAAACAAGAAAAAGACAAAAATGCAGAACAGCAAAAGGTCATACTGCAGGCCTGGCATGGCATAGGTCTGGTGAGAAGCTCCACTTCTATAGGGCAAAGGGCACTAAAACTACTGACTCAGTAATATTTATGAGATATTTTCCTCTCCCTTTTCCTCCCCCTCTCCCTCTCCCTCTTTCACACACACATACACACACTGTCATCTGGGATTCTGACTTTGAGCAAGCTGTCAGCACAGGAAGAAAACAGAACTCAGTGTCGTGAGCACCGAACAATCCTTTCTAGCACTGTGAATGGACCTGGACATACCTTTAGTAACATCAAGGACAGAACTACCAAATGTCCATTACTCAAGGGTCTAGTTTAGGAGCTGGTCAGTTTGGCCAGAGAGGCAGGCACAATTCTCATCATACAGGCAGAGTTGAGTGCAGCAGAAGATCACAGGATTAGGGCCATGTGAGTGAGGAAGAACAGAGAAAAGCAAAAATACTTCCCACTCAAAATGAGCCTGCACAGCAGAATATCAGAACACGTTTTAAGACTGAGAAAGGAAACAAATCAGCAAATGAAAAATGAACCCTCCACTAAAATCATTTTTTGGAGAGAAAAAAATCTGACGAAAACTAAAATAAGTATTCTTAGGATGTTAGAAAGCATAAATGAAAAAATAACATTTATCTTAAAGGAGAAATTACAAAGGCAAATTAATACCAAAAATATATGGAAAGTATTCAGAATATTGGGGGTAAAAGAAATATTCATTGATGTTTAAGACTCAATAGATATTATAAAATAAATGGCACTGGATACTCTTGAGTGGGGAGAATGGTGCCTAAGAAGAATACAGGATAGATAAATTAAGAGAGTGTTTTTTAAAATGAAAGCAAGATTATGAAATTTAGAGAACAACTTAACAAGGTTCCTAAAAATAACTCATATGAGTTCTAGGAAGAAAAAAATAATCTAAAAGAAGAAATTTCAGAGAATGTCAGAAAGCAGTATTTCAGGTAATTCAAGTGAGAAGTTTCCAGAATTAAAGGAATATGTAATTCTTGAGATCAAAAGTGCACTCAGAGTATTAAAGAAGAATAAATAATGATAATGATGGATCCACACCTAGACTCATTATCAGATAAAAAGATGATCTTAAAGCTATAAAAAGAAAAATTAAAAGAACAGCTTTTAAATGGAACTTCACATCAGCAACAAATTATAAAAATAATGGTGAACCATGCTTGAAGTTCTAAAAGAAAAAATGTCAGATTTTATACACAGTTAAACTATTATGGAAGAGTGATATGAAATGTGATATGACAGTGTTTACTGTCCACAAATTCTCATTACAAGACCTGCGAAATATATACTCAGGAAGAAGTGGGATGGATAGATGTGCCTAGAAGGAAAGCATGAAATTTAGGGACACAGAAAAATGTTACTGAATTATTGAATTCTTGATCTGCTTTTAATTAAAACTAAACTTTTGTTTTAGGAGGTCAAAAGGAAACATGTTCAATCAAAATTTAGGAAATGCAAATAAATAAAAGAGGCAAATTAAAAACCATCTCATTCCACATGTAAAGAGAGCCACTATTCATGTTATTGAATGTAGTTCTGGTATAGTTGCTTATGTATACGTTTATAAAAATGTGTGTCATCCAGATTGTATTTACCTCTTTTCATATTTATAAAAATATTTTTCATTCCATTAATTAGTATCCTATAGTCTCTATCTAAAAGCTGGATAGAATTCAATTCTATAAAAGTACTTGATTTAATTCACCAACCCACTCCCCATTGTTTACACTTTTGCAATGCTTCCCTTGGTTTTGGATACCTAAACTTCCAGTTTGAGCAGGATCTTCTAAAAATTTTAAATAAATTGTCCTTTCCAAATATGAATGAGTCTGCCAACCAGAATGTTAAGGACACTGAAAAATAGGTCTGTTCCACCACATTTTAATTTTTAAAATAATGCATCCCAAGTATTTCATTTTGAATTCCATTACAAGCAGTGTTAGCAGAAGCAGATGAACCCTTCAACTTGACTGTGCAATTTATTTTAATAAAAATCTCTTTAGAGATCCCTGTCTAGTCAGCAAATAATTGCTCTAACTCTGGATTTTAATATTAGCACTGAATGATTTATGTACATTAAATAATGTGATTCTCACTAACCATTTATGAGCTAAGAATGATTATCTCCCTCTGTGGATAATCACACTTCAGGGAAGAAAGGTTAAGTGGTTTACCTAAGATCACTCAGCCAGTCAATGGATTATCTCAAAATATGATCCTTGAGTCTTTAAATCATTAAATTCAGCTGGCCTCAGCAATACTTGAGAGACATGAAGGATATGCACTTAGATTTTTCCCTCGAATGATTTATGTAGCATAATGTCTAATTTGTTTATAGAGCATTTTTTGTTTCTTATGACACACTTTGGTCCATAAGCAAATATGAGACATAAAAATGAGTGTGATAAGAATCTGGAAAAACCTTCTGGTTGAATTAGAGTGTCAATTTCTAAAATAGCACATGGACTAAGCAGACAATAGAAACAGCCATTTGATGGAAAAGATGGGGGGAATGGCAGGCAGTAACAGAAAGCAAATACAGAAGTTCCTTTTGTAGAACTGCAGTTTGGAGTTAGAATTAATGGACTCTAAATGGAACAAAGAAATCCTATTTCTGAGCAAGGACATTGCATTACCTCAGAGCTATTCCATCTCCAGTACAAAGCATTACACAGGTTTACCTGCCCATGTCAACCATAAGGCAATTGGACTTCATAGATCCTTACCATATGCAGTTCCCACAAATGGGACACCCTAGAAGTTATCCCTAGAATTTTCAGCAGTAATCTTATCAAAATTAGAAATGAGCCTGATACACCAGAGTGGAGGCCAAAAAAGTAGTAGGATGACGTATTGCCAGGACCATATCAGATTTGTATTTCTAGAAAAGAGAGAAGAAGGAATCTCAGGCAGTTGTCTCTTTTGAGTGGGGAGGGGGAAAAGAATGTTCCAGTTTGTCTTCCAATTCCACTTGGTCTCTACAATTAATCTTAAGAAAAATATTGGGCCGGGACTGGTTTGGCTCAATGGATAGAGCGTCGGCTTGGGGACTGAAGGGCCCCGGGTTCGATTCCGGTCAAGGGCACGTACCTTGGTTGCGGGCACATCCCCAGTAGGGGGTGTGCAAGAGGCAGCTGATCAATGATTCTCTCTCATTGATGTTTCGAACTCTCTCTTTCTCTCCCTTCCACTCTGTACAAAAATAAATAAAATATATTTAAAAAAAAGAAAGAAAGAAAAATATTGGTAAATGATTTAACTAGTGATTGTTTCATAAAACTGATTATTTTATTTGAAAAATAAAATTACCAACTGATTCTATTGATATTTGCCTGGAACTTCCCTGGTTTTAGCACAGAAAGTCCCATGTCCTTGAAACCCTCTCAGTCCTGGATAAATTAGGAGAGTGGGTTAAAACTCAAAATAGCCAGGCTGACATGGCTCAATGGTTGAACATCGACCTTTGAACCAGGAAGTCATGGTTTGATTCCCAGTCAGGGCACATGCTCAGGTTGCGGACTCCATCCCCAGTGTGGGGCATGCAGGAATCAGCCAATCAATGATTCTTTACCATCATTGATGTTTCTATCTTTCTCTCCCTCTCCTTTCTTCTCGCTGAAATCAATAAAAATATGTTTTAAAAAAAAAACACTGGGTATGTTCACTGTCCAAAATTTAGAAATTAAAGCAAAATTGAGCATTAAAATCATTCACATATTCAATATGCAGAGAGTGTCACTGTTAATAAGTATTAGTAAATGTATTTCCTACTATCTCTATGAAGTAAGCTTCATCACAGTGCAAGTTACTATTATTATTACATATGTCAAGAGACAGGTTAATATCATTTTAATGTCTTTTAAAATTCTATTTAAAAAATATGCTAAGTACTTTAGTACGTGTACCTTTTCTGATGGCCTCACTCTGTAATTCTGATAAATTTTCAATTATGTATTGGCCATTTCTGCCATTTATTCTTACAAATTCCCTTAACCTTATGCTTTTCTTTATCTCTGAAAAGCAGTGCCAGCCAGTACATTAGCAGCATGCTTTCTGATAACTGTATCGCAGTGTAATCTCACTGCTCAGGGGTATGCAGCCTTTCATTTCTTATTCCATTTCTGTTCCCCCTGTAGGCCAGGGAGGGGAAATTTCTACCTAGGGAGTTTAGCATCATTTAACATTGATGTTACTTGTCCAACAATCTCCAATGAGTGAAACCCTTTGTCGGCCACATTTAACACAAAATTTATCAATACTTACTTGGGCACATAAAGTCCTCTTTGTATTGTGGGAGCTTAACTTTCTGAAAGCATTTCAAGTCCCGATTTAAAGACAGGAGGAGGGAAGGAGAATAAAATGCGGTGTTAGAAAAGAAATATATCTTTCATCTATCCTAAAAGGTTCACACGTGGTTGAGCTATATTTCAGGATTATCGTGAGCCAGAAAGTACCTCTCTCATTGAGGAAATACTTACCATCCATGTGTGAAGTTATCCTGTTCTCGCCAATAACACGTACATCAGTGGCCTCTTCTGTTTTCATTTCTAGCTTTGCGGTGCCTGCTGGTAGCCCTGGGGTTGCTTGTATGATTGAAATGACTGCAGATGGAAAACCTACAATACAGAAGAAAGCAATGGGACTATCCCATGCCTCTCAGGTAGGCATGCATATATCCAGTTTCAAATATTCAACTCCCTAGGTTGGAACTCTATGTTTCAAATAAGTGCTTCTTTTAAAATTAGTGTGTTAATCATATTTTTATTCCTTGTAAAAGCTCTCAACAAAACACCAGAATATCCATCTTTGATACGTTAGATATAATTAAATGCATGTAATGTTGCCTGCCACTTTAAAAGTGTTATTAAATTGAGCATAAAATTGACTTTCTTCTCAAACTTGGTATATAATATATTACGCTTGATCTAAGAAAAAACTCAGGGATCTGAAAAGATTAGCAAGATGCACAACAGTGCTTAAAAACTTACATTTTTATAAGACATGGTAGTGTTTGTACTGTGCTGTTAAAAAAAAAAAAAAAAAGTCCATTCTCAGTTGTTCAGATTTACGTTGGCCAGGATATTTTTCTTAGAAATATTGAATGAAGCTAAATTGAAACAAGAGAAGATGGCTGTCCCTCCAGGGACAAGGCAATTTTCTGAATTCTTTTAATTTTAATGATGTGGTTGATTCCATGCTTTTTACTATGACTTTATTGCAATACATTTAAGATAAAGAATTCCTGGTTCATTTAATCATCATGTCTCCATATCTGTATAATTAGAGCACCACAGTGCTAATTTTGGCACACATTAATGCTTGCAGTGTGTAGTGCCCTAATGAATTGGAAATTTCATTTTATTTCCATTTTTTCTACATAGTCTCTATTGTGTATATGCAGGCATTTAAAAGAAGCACATAAGAGCATCTAACATTTGCATAAGCACATTACAGTTTTCCAAATTATGGCCACATATATAACCACATCTCATCTTCACAAGAATCTTCCAAAGTAATAATAATGATCCCTTACATAAACCTGAAGAAAGTTGAGTAACAGGTGTCCAAAATTTTATAGTGAGAGGGTAGAGGCTTGACTCCAGGCTTTCTGATTCCCAACCCTTTTTTGTTCATTTGTAATACACTCTACTGTTCTTCATTTGCAGCTGCACCTGATTCAAAACTATTGGACAAATTGTTATAAAGCAATAAAATTGGTTATCATGTTATAAGAAGTTATGCTAGCGCCCAAGATGGCCAAATATTTATATTCAAGACATGGAATATTCAAATAGTGGAAAATACATAAAACACTACTAGTTTTGTGTGTTTTTTAATATCTAAAGTATTCAGTGTGATTTCATATTCCTTAATTCCTTATAGTCATCCACTTTTATAATACAAGCTTCATATTTTCTTATAAATAGCATACAGTATACTACTAACATAATTTTCAATGGATCACATCTTTAATAAATGCTCAATAAATATCTTTTTGATGTTGAAAATGATAAATATGTCTCATGTCTGCAGCCTTTGTGACAAATCAGTCTTCTCACCTTTAGGTTGACTGAATGAAATACTAATCAAAGTGTCTCAAGTAATAATATGCATGCATACACAGAGACCAACACATGGGAATAGAATTTATGATTAAATTGAAAAGAATTGGGATCATTTCAGGATGGTAAAGCAACAGTGCACTTAGTCTTTCCAAAGTGTTGGTCTTTTTTTTTTACCATATTCTGCCTCCTTGTGTTCATCCCAACTCAAGTGCTCTGAAATCTGAGTGAATCACTGCTGCCTTCTGGAGGGCTCACCTCAGAGCTCATTTTAGTCTTGTGGAGGCTGTCTGTCCTAAACACTCAGACTAGACCCCAGTCCTGGAGTTATGCTATGTAATGAACTCCTGGAGTTTGTTGTGATTATACCTTTGTGTTACTCCCTCTTCCTCTTTTATTATAATAAGAGAATGGTGTAAATTTGTAGAATAAGGATATATTAGCACTGAGGATTTTGTGAGCTTGAAATCACTTCATTTTACAAGTCATGAACTTTAATACAAACTATTAAAAATGGGTTCTAACTCTGCCTCTGCTCATTATACTATAGTGCAAATTTTTAAATAGACTAGAGGCCTGATACATGAAATTTGTGGACAGGTAGAGTCCCTAAGCTTGCCAGTGATCAGGGCTAATTGGGGCCTTCTGGCTGCCAGCTGCTAGCGGGGGGCCTTCCTTTTTTTCGCTCTACTCCCTGGTGGTCAGCACATGTCATAGCAAGGGGTTGATCTCCTGATTGGTCAAACTCCCAAGGGGAGAATTTGCATATTAGCCTTTTATTATATAGGATTATAATGTATCTCAGTGTAAGCCTCATTGTGTTCATTCTAATTTTAGTTCTTTGGGCTCCTTAAATCTGAATGTCCATTTTATCCCCCAGATTTGGAAAGTTATATCATTAAATAAGCATTCTGCCCATGTCTCTCTCCTCTCCTTCTGGGACTCCAATAATGTATATATTAAACCACATGTGTCAAACACAAGGCCCGCGGGCCAAATCCATCCCGCCAGGCCTTGCAATGTGGCCCGCACCGCGCTGTCATCACTGCACTCCACTGCGTTTCCATCACAATGACAGTTTATGACTGTTCAGTAAACCATTCGGCCCGCGATTTAGGCTGGATTTCAGATTTTGGCCCCTTCTCTGATTGAGTTCGACACCCCTATATTAAACCATTTGATGATTTCCCATAAAGCCCTCCAACTCTCTTTACTCCTTTTTAATCTTTTTGTTTCTTTTGCCTCTTTAAGCAGATAATTTAAAATAACCTATGTTCAAGTTTGCTGCTTCTGCTTTATGAAATCTTCTGTTGAATTCCTCTTGTGAGTTTTTCTTTTCTCTCCTCTCTCTCTTTTTTTTCTCTCTCTCTCTTTCCCTTTTTTTTGTTTTTTTTATTTGTTTGTTTGTTTTGTTTTGTTTTGTTTTGTTTCTGAGCTCACCAGGCCCAGGGCAGGGACCTTCCTATACCCCCCACCCATTCATTGCCCCACCCTATGGGCCCTTCCAGGATCGGATAACTCTTGTGAATTTTTCAATTGAGCTTTGTATATTCAGCTTCAAAATTTCTGTTTGATTTTTTATTATAGTTTTTCTTTGTTGATATTCTCATTTTCTTCATGATTCGATTTCTTAAACTAATTTGGCAGCTTTGTGACAGGTTTTGATTCTTTGTCAGGTCATTCATATACCTCCATTTCTTTGAGATTGGTTTCTGGAGATTTATTTTGTTCCTTTGATTAGTCTATGTTTTCTTGTTTCTTCTTGTGCCTTGTCACTTTGTGATGGGATCCACACATTTGGAAAAACAACCATCTCTCCCAGTGTTTATGGAATGGCTTTGTATAGGAAAGGACCTACACCAAATAGCACAGCTAAAGATTCTGGGACCCATCTAACGGATGTGTCTTCTCTAGACTTGTGTGAGAATTCTTTACTATACAAATTTTCCAGTCTTTTTTAGGGTGCTTGTAATCTTTTATTCCCTCTGCTCTCGGTCTGCAGTATGTACTGCCATTTCTCTGGAGCTGCTGTAAGCAGCCCAGTTTTCTTTGCTCTCAGCAGCCCCCAAGTTTCTAGACTATGCTGCGTCTCATCAGAGCTTCAAGTCATGCAAAATAGAAACCAGTCTCAGAAAAGTGTAATTTTGATGTATGTGCCAACTCGTTCCTTCCCCAGGAAGAAGTCATGAGTTGGGGGCTTTCACCTGCTCTCTCCCACTGAGGTGGTGGAGGGGCTATGCTGAGTGAATACCTACTGGTCTAAACCTTCATCTTTGTTCTCAGTGGCCCCAGCCTGGTACCCTTATCTGTCAGCAACTAGTCCCTTGGGCTGCATCTTGAAAATTCTAAACATAGGACATATGTATCCATTTTCTGTTTCCTCCAAAGAGAAGCTGGAAACTGGAAGTTTTTCTCAATCATGTTCTACTGAGCCCAGAGGAGGGCTATGGCAAGTGAGTGCCACATATGTTCCCACTGACCCTCAATACAGCTGGCTTCACAGTCCCCCAAGATGCAAGAATCTACATGTTTCTCATATGGACACACTGTTTGTGTATTGTTGAACCAATGTCCCCATGAGGAAAGGAAGGACTGTCTGGAACTTCCTATTCTTCCATCTTACTTACTGGAAAGCTGCTCTTTTCTGACTATTTAATTTTTTTGTGATTTATTTCCCCAAATAACATTTAACTTCCTAATAGACAAGACTAAGCTCACATCCTTCTTTTCTATCTCCACTTCCCTGTATCCATGTGCTCACAGGGTAGCAATTCAATTTATTATTTACTAAAGTTCAGTTCTTCCTTCAACAAAGTAAGAAGATATTGTTTTGGAAATGTTCTCTAGCCTGGAAAGCCTTAAGAACCTCAGGTTTTCCTGGGACCAGTGAAGATGTCACTGATACTTATCAAATTAAAAAATAACTGTTTGTGTGAGCCCCTTGATATTAATCTCATTTGTAGCTCAAGAACTTCCATATAAATACTGCCTATACTTTATGCTATTTAACATATAAAGATATATTCATATTAAAGCCATATTAATACTCCTTCTGGGATTGTATTCAGTGAGGACTTCCCTTTATACTGAATCTGACAAACCAGCAAGTTGCTAAGGCCAAATAAAGTAGGAGAAGAGACCAGAAAGCCAAGTAGAAGACTGAAGAAAAGCAGGACTGAGTTTCATGAATCAGCTCATATACACAAACTTGTATCAAATCTCCTGTTTGCAAGGTGCTGCTATGGATGAGAACCCCAAGATAATGAGAATGGAGGCCCAGCTTTTAAAAGGGGAATAAATTAATATAAAAGAGGTCACAATTGCACAGATTATCATGTTATTGGGGCGGGAAGACGGACTAACAGCAAAAGGATGGGTGGTTTGGATAAATACGGCTCCTAACTTTTAATTCCTTTTCATTTAATGTCTCTAAACAGTCTTAAAGAATTTAAGATGTAAATCACATGTGAAACATTATTTAAATAAATCCTTTCACAAACATTTACCCAACATCTCTTATCTATCTTTATTCCAAGATCCCATGTGTCTAGTTTTGAATTTCTCTGCATATAATTCAGATGCTATTTAATACAAAAAATCTGCAATAACACTAAATAAAAGTCAGTTTGTTTCAATTTTGTCATTACATTCTTGGAAAAAGACGAGTACACTGTGATAGTCTTTTTTAATGTTTAAAGTATTTCATATAGTAGAACATGTTTTCTTTTTCCGCTATTTTCCCCTTGGGATATATTTCCTTTTTTCCTCTGATCTCCCCACCTCTCTGGCACATGCCCTCATCTCCCTAGTGTCTGTGTCCATTGGTTATGCTTATATGCATGCATGCATATCCTTTGGTTGATCTCTTACCCCCCACCCCAAACTTCCCCTGCCTTCCTGCTGAAGTTTGACAGTCCATTCGATGTTTCTTTGTCTCTGTATCTGTTTTTGTTCATCAATTTATGCTATTCATTATATTCCACAAATGAGTGAGATCACGTGATGTTGTTGATCTTTCTCCAACTGGCTTATTTTGCTTAGCATAATGCTCTCCATACATGCTATTGCAAATGGTAAGAGTACCTTCTTTTTTACAAAAGCATAGTATTCTATTGTGTAAATCTATCATATTTTTCTAATTCACTCATCTGCTGATGGGCACTTAGGCTGTTTCCAAATCCTAGCTATTGTAAATTGTCCTGCTATGAACATAGGGGTATGTGTAACCTTACTGATTGGTGTTTCTGTTTTCTTGGGATATATTTCCAGAAGTGGAATTACTGGGTCAAATGGAAGTTCCATTTTTAGTTTTTTGAGGAAACTCCATACTGTTTTCCACAGTTGCTGCACCAGTCTGCATTCACACCAGCAATGCAAGAGGGTTCTTTTTTCTCCTCATCCTCACCAGCTTTTGTTATTTGTTGATTTGTTGATGATAGCCATTCTGAGAGGTGTGAGATGATACCTCATTGTCATTTTGATTTGCTTCTCTCAGATGATTAGTGACTGAGCATTTTTTCATGTGTCTTTTGGCCTTCTGTATGTCCTCTTTTGATAAAATACTATTTAGGTCCTTTGCCCATTTTTTGATTGGGTTGTTTATCTTCCATTTGTTAAGTTGTATGAGTTCCCTATAAATTTTGGAGATTAAACCCTTCCAACTTACACCATTTACAAAAATAAACTAAAAAATGAATGAAGGACTTAAACATAAGATGAAAAACCATAAAAATCTTAGAAGAAGCCATAGGCAACAAAATAGCAGACATATGTCGTAGTAATATCTTTACCAATACAACTCCTAGGGCAATGGAAACTAAGGAAAAAATAAACAAATGGTAATACATAAAGATAAAAAGCTTCTGCACAGCAAAAGAAACCATCAACAAAACAACAAGAAATCCCACTGCATGGAAAAATATACTTGCCAATAATAATTAATCTTAACAAAGAAATACATTTGCAATTACCTTCCTGTATTTCATTAACACAAAAGTAATTCAACTTCAGACAGACTTGAGGCTATAAAACAAAAGTAAACATTGAACCAAGATATCTAACAGAAATGTATGTAGTACCCCAATATCTAAATTTAAATGAAGACAAAACAGAAAACAGGTAAAACAGCTTCTTACCCATCTTCCCCTCACTCTCCAGTTTAAAAAAAAAAAAAAAAAAAAAAAAAGTTTGTTCCCTTTTGCCTATATTCTTATTGTATTCCCACATATTATAAAAGAGCACTATATTTTTCCTTTAAAGAGAAACTCTGAGGGGAAAGGAACTGTTCATTCATTCTTGTCAGATGTGGAATCCTTTCCCCTCAGTCACCATTCATATTTTTCATTATCTTGATGATTCCTCCTTGATTGTCCATGTCTGTTCTCTGTGGTTTTATCTTGTAAGATCATATCTTGATGTCAGACTCTATTCTCCATAGTCTGATTCACAAGGAGTTATTAGAAAAGACTTATTTTAAAGACCTGTCTTCTTAGGAATGATTACACACACAATAGGCAGCTCTTAGATAATTGAGAGTCTGGGGATAGAGGAAGTCAACCAATTTAATGGTTATCTATGTGCAGTCAACGACAGCTGTTTTTTTAGACATCTCGGGGCTCCAACTAAGTTTGGGCCTCAGATCAGAAGAAATGCAAGAGCCATTTATTTTTATTGTTTGGGTGTTTTTTAATGGTCTAATAAATCATAGATAGTTCTATAGACTTCCCCTCTGATCTGCCTACTGCAGACATTAGAGGAGGATATTCTTTCATCCTCTATCAGTTTTGTGCTAAAACAGCACACTTGTCAAAGCAGTGAGAGGTTTGCTGTTCCAGGTGTGTGATCAATACACAAAGCTATCAGAGATCCTCGATGAGAGGAAGGTCACAGCCTTGGATGCGCTGAGTCTGCAGGTTCATGATAGATCCCAGATTGCATTAGCAGTAAGTCACTTATCTTAGACGATAAAAGAACTCTGCTAATAGTTTGTTAGAGTAATTGGTATAAATGGACTTAGCATATAAAAAAGGACTGGAAAACAAACTGACATACTCCTGTGCTACCTGAGAGCTCTATTAATACCCCCTGAAACTTCCACCCCACTATACCCAAAGGTACTCATACTCTGCGGAAATATTGTATATATAAGTCCCATAAGAGATACTTAAGGAGCAAAAATAAGGAATGGTCTTAGGAGCAGAGCCCAACTCACTAAAAAAAGAATAAGAGCTCAAATATCCTGTTTCCCCGAAAATAAGACAGTGTCTTATATTAATTTTTTCTCCCAAAGTTGCACTAGGTCTTATTTTCAGGGGATGTCTTATATCTTTCCATGCGCTAGGTCTTATTTTTGGAGGATGTCTTATTTTCGGGGAAACACGGGTAATATAATTAGTTTGATCTACTATGGGTCATAGTAAATGTTCCTAGACTAGCACATGCTTCTGTTCTGTAAAAGCACATTTGCATTAAACAAAAAAATTAGTATAAATATTAAGTAATATTACTGGTCATCTCACATCATATCCTCCCACCAGTCATAACTTAATTAATTGGCTCTAGCTTTTGAATTGTTGCAGTGACAGTTGTCCATTTAAATGCATCTGTAATACCAAATTAAATACTTTCTGAAGTCAGCTTGGACTGAGTGAGTGAGTGAGTTTAGGGAATAAGCATATCAGAGATATTAACCAGGTACCAATGTTGCTGCATTGACCTGTCATATGCCTAACAGTTCTGAAAGTCACATTCTAATTATTAGTTCATCCAGACTTCAACTGTAGCTCATAGATCCTCATTGAGGAACATTGCATTTTATGAACCTCTGAACGATAAAAGTTCAATTTCTTTATGCTGCTGGAGGATTGTAAAGGAGAGATTAAGTATCAATTTATATCATGCAAGTGATTTTATCATTCTGGTCAATGAGTATAAGCTCTATTTCCAAACAAGGTTAGATTCTGAGGTACTGGATGTTAGGACTTCAACATATAAATGAGGAGTTGGGGTGGCACAATTCAATCTCTACTAATAATTAAATAACAAGGTTTAATTTTCTTTATCAGTTTCTATTTGATAATGTTCACATTGAAAAGCGTACACTTGATTTATAAAATGCATTTCAAAGTAATCAAATTTTGTCAAATGCCAATCTTTTGTATTAAAATGTATTAGCTATTGTGAGAGATACAAAGAAATATAAAAGAGGGGCCCTTTTCTAAACTAATTTACCTTACCTCTTACTAGGTGGGTTGACAAAACTAGCCCACAATTAAAACCTGTTTAACATAGAAGAGCATGCAATTATAGAACAAAATATCCTAGACTCCTCTCCTATAATTTAACTAAGAAAACTAGAGGCCTAGTGCACAAGTTTTGGGGGCCCCTCAGCCCAGCCTGCACCCTCTCCAATCTGGGACTCCCCCAGCAGTCAGACATCGCTCTCACAATTCAGGACTGCTGTCTCCCAACTGTTCGCCTGCCTGCCAGCCTGATTACCCCCAAACTACTCCCCTGCCAGCCTGATTGATGCCTAACTGCTCCTGTGCCAGCCCTATTGCCCCCAAATGCCCTGCCCTGCAGGCCTGCCTCCCCCAACTGCCCTCCCCTGCAGGCCTGGTCCCCCCCCCCCCTTAACTGCCCTCCACTGCAAGCCATCTTGTAGCAGCCATCTTTGACCACATGAGGGCAGCCATCTTGTGTAAGGGTGTGAGGGTCAATTTGCATATTACTTCTTTATTAAGGAGGATGTTTGTTGCTATTTTTCCTATAGGTACATTTTGAATCAATGTCCTTAGCCATATTCCTGAAAATGTTAAGATTCACAAGAATGCGGGACATATTTATGGGTTCAAGGGCTGCATTGGAAAGCTTCAAGTAAGCAACAAAGAATTTATCATCGCTGATGAAGCACTACATGGGAAGAACATTGAGAAGTGCATGTCCCTTTGTGTGCTCATCATCGATGCCACAACAACGGCACCTGCATCAGGTTAGTATTAGCCTCCTGATCGCTAACCTATATTGCAAGGCTCCAGATTCTTAAGAAAATCAAACCAGCAGCATTGCCATCTGCGTGATAGAAATAAAGGTCTGGAACATTTGCATGCATTACCTAGGTGATGCACATATGTGGTAGACACATGTTTGCTCAAAGAAATTTTTATATCATGGCTCCAATGGCAAGAAAGTCCTGACCTCTGAAAATTCCTAGGTAACTGGACCTGATTTTGACAATTTTAAATGGACCCAAGTATAAGTTTACTAAGGTGTTCTGGTTTTTAGAAATATAAATGGGAGATTATTATTTATTGATAATGATTTTGATGTATTAATTTGTATTGTGTTTGTTTTTGCTTCATTTTTAAAAAATCGACTTACAACTCTAAAATTAGAAGTTGAGAAAAAGTACCTATATCTATTTATTCATTTTATGTTCAATCCTATGTATATATTTCCTCCTTCTGGTAAAGATTCGTCATGTTTATAAGCTTAAGATCTTAATTAAAATTACTCTCAGCTCCACTAAAATGTGTAAGTGTAGAACATAATCCCAAATTTCTTCAACCCTTTGAGAAATCATTATTTCAGGGCCATAAGTAATGACAGAATGGAAGCAGAAACATGTACAGATTATCATAATTCAAGTCAAGGAGAAATTGACCAAATCTCACAGGAAATGCCTTAATTCACTTCAGTGATTCTAAGAAGGAAGCTCTCAAGTCATTAATGGCTTCAATAAAGTAAGCACCTAGAATGCATAGTGTAGGGAAGAGGAAAATTCTATTTAAAAAATGTATGATAGAAAATGGTAGGAAGAGATGGGCTCTGAAAGTAATCAGTGGAATAGAAAATGATAAAAGAGAGTGAGAAAGAAACAAATGGCAGACAAGGAACAAAGGAACGGACAGATATGATAAAATCAAGATGATATATTGTCAAGATAATCCCAGCCTAACTAATAAATTTGAATAAAAAGCAAAATGGAGTTAGTGAAAAAGGAAGTGATCAACTCTTAGGGTGTCTACAACCTTTGCTCCAGATTAACTCTGAATCTATGACTTGATTTATACATTTGTAAAATAGCAACAGCAATATAGGCTTATTTTATAGAGGGAAAGTATAAAAGATAAAGTTTTAAAGGACTTTTAAGAAGAGTATATTTTGAGAATAAGATTGAGGATAACTTCCTTGGCCATTGTCACTTTTCTGAAGGAAAAAAAAATCAGGATTTTACTTAATAAACATTCTGTTTTATGATGAATCCATTAATAGCAATTATTTATAATAATAATGCAATATGATCCAATAAGGCAACCTTCTGAACCCTGCAGAAAAACGTTCATTTTTGCCTAATTAAGTGAAGAAACAGGAAGAAAGCTTCTACTGACTTTCTAATATCCAAAATATTTGTCATTTAACCTAAATAAATACTGTCAATGAGGCTTTACCACTGATGTAATAGAATTATAGAAATGACAAGAATTGTGTTTTCGCCCTTCTTATATGTCAGGGATGGGGAATCATTTGTCTGCCAAAGACCACTGGGTATTAATAACGTCAATCATGGGTCATATGAAATTATCAACTTAAAAATGATGTTGCTATGAAAAAAAAGCTCTTAGATTTATTAAATTTTGAGTCCTGCCTTGGCAGGGCCAGATAAAATGATACAGCCTGCAGGCTGGATATTCCCCAGCCCTGCTATTTGTGGTCAGCAGACTCTCTCAGAGTCCCTGTCACCCCCTCTCCTGGTGTTCAAGCCTTTGCATGATCCCCTCTAGCTTCAGTGTGGATGGGACCCATGACTTACTTTTAGCAGTACACATGAACGAGATGTGTACTGATGAAGAACCCAGTGAGGCCATTAGCAGCCTCAGACCAAGAAGTTGGTCACAAAGAATCACCACCTTGACCAGCACCCTGCCCCCAGAAAAACCAATAGAGTAGGGTAGTGGGGTATCACTTACTTCCATGATTAGGTTACACAGGATTGTGCTGCACCTTGCTGATTTTGATAAAGCATGTAGCAGTTTGGGGAAAGTCCATGTGACAAGGCACTGAAGGTAGCCTCCAGCCAACAACCAGTGAGGAGCTGAGGGTGGCCCCTTGTCAGTTGTGTATTCAACAAATAAAATGCTTCTTCACTTCCTAAGAACAACATGATTTCTATCTTTATTGCCAGTGCTTAACTCCCATAAATTACCCCTTGCATTATTGCACACAGGACATGCTGGTCCCTGGCAACTATGACTTCCATTAGAGCATGTCTCTGCATGCCAAAACCACAGTGCACTGGAGTTGGCTGGTTCCAGTACAACAACAAAAATAGGCATTTCAGAGGGATCCTAACAGGACTAAAAAAATCATCAAAGCAGGGAGCCGAAGGGAGATGTAAAGGATGATTATTGAGTTTTGAACCTGGTAATCAGAATGCCGGGATAATTACAGGAAGAACATGGGAAGAGGATGAGTTCAGTGTGGCCTTTTGTCCTCAAGAAACGGATGACCATCCAAATGGGGATAGTCAAGTGTGTTTATGAATGGTTGGGGCAGACATACAGATTTCAGAACAACTATGTAGAGCTTAGGGTTGAGCCATGTAATTATTAAAAGAAAACAAAAAAGAGAGAGTAGGGAAACATTTTTATAAAAATTACACTTGAATTTTTTAGGAAGAGAGCAGAGTGAGTAGTACAGCAATTAAAAAGAAGTAGAAGAGAAGGAAAATGAAGCCATCTGAGGTAAGTGCTCTGGACTGAATGTTTTTGCCTCCCCCCGCCGCCCTCCCCCCAAAAAAGAATTTCATATGTTAAAACCCTGATCTCCAATGTGATGATTTGGGGAGGTAGGGCTTTTGGGAGGTAATTAGGTGATGAGGGTGGAGCCATCATGAATGGGATCAAAGGTTCAATACAAGAACACAGATAGCTATGGGACCACAGGAAGATCATCAGAATGTACATGCTATCTGTCACTCTCCCCTGGCCTGTGTAAAACATCAAAACCTGACCATGCATAGAACACTCCCACAGTCTGTGCAGTAACCTGAAAGGAGAACGAGATGTGTACTGATGAAGAACCCAGTGAGGCCATTAGCAGCCTCAGACCAAGAAGTTGGTCACAAAGAATCACCACCTTGACCAGCACCCTGCCCCCAGCAGACACATACCCATAGTTGGACTACAGTGAGTGGTGTAAAGTTTTCCAGCCAACAAAGCTAGAGAAAGCTAGTGAGCCCCATCCTGACTTTGACAAATGGATCTGAGATGACTTGATGCATTTGGCAACTCACTCGCCATCTATGTTGTTGGCTAAAGGCCAAGGTTCCTTTTCCTCTCTAGGCTGACACATCATAAAATGGATCTCTCCAAAAGCTCCCAAACTCTCTTCCAACCTTTATCGACCTTGGCGCCTTTCAGTGCCACATCCGTTTTGAGCCAAGATGGGCAGACTTCTCAATTCCCTTCTTCTTTATTCCTATTTCCCCTAAGGGGAGATTGGACTCAAGACAGCTTTCAAAATATTATAGCAGAGCAGTTTAAATGAGATGAATTAATATTCAGCTTTTCTGGATCCAAAGAAAATGGACAAAGTAGCCTGGGGAAATGTTGTTAGGTCTACAGTTTTATTTTCAAAATAATAGACTATCTTTGTTCAGAATAGAAGAATCAGTATTACAAGGATAAGGAGCTCTTCCACCTCTCTGACTTCCTGTCTCAAGATACTGAGGCTCTAATGGCTTAATACTACAGCAGGTGTGCATGTTGCTTTTATGTAAAAATGCCAATAATAATTTCTCATAACAGTTTAATTTTTCTGGTCCACAGACTTTCATCTAAAGGTTGGGGAATGCCTCCTAATGAGGTACATAAGAACCTTAAGAGAGGCAAATTTTTTTCAGTCTGCACACACACACATACACATTACATATACCTGAACTTCCTAATCCATATCTCCTGGAAATGCATGCCTATTCTTCCCAACATTCTATAATAATAATAAAAGCATAATATGCTAATTAGACCAGACAGCAGAACGACCTTCTGGACATCCTCCCGGATGACATTCCAGAGCATGTTTTAAACAAAAGGAAGATGGTAAGTTAACAGACTTTCACTACAGAGAGCTACACTGCAGGGTTCACAAAATAAAGTACCATTACATAGCTATTTGTGAACAAAACCATTACTAATTTTAGTAGCGTGGTTGATAATCCACTGTTATTACCGTATTTTTCGGACCATAAGACGCTCCGGACCATAAGACGCAGCAGTTTTTAGAGAAGGGAAATGAAGAAAAAAAGATTCTGAAACAAATAGTGTCCTAAAATATTTTATGTGCATTAAAACCCAACATCACAGTCATAAACACATGTAATCAACCCTGTAAAGTAAACAGCAGCAAGTAGAACCATTTTAGAGCCGGGCAAGCACACAGAGACCACACAGAGCCGGGCAAGTAAAAAAACTTTTTTTTAAAGTATATGTGTAGGCTATATTTGGACCATAAGACGCAGGGACTTTTTCCCCCCAGAAGTGGGGGGAATAAAGTGCGTCTTATGGTCTGAAAAATACGGTAAGTGCTGTCCCTACATTGTCTATGAAGGTAATCTGCTTACAAGAAGGCAGATTTCATGTGGAAGGATACTAAGGGGAAGTATTACTTCAGTAAATGTCATTTTTCCTTTAATGCCATCACACATTTCTGGACAGAATCCAACCTTTTTTCATTACATTATATTGTACATTTGTGCTGGAATTTTCCAACTCCTGCAGTTGCTTATCTCAGAGAAATCCAAATGGCATGTAAGGAAATTCAGTTTAGAAAAGTGATACAGAAGGGTTATTCTGAGTATCCAAAGCTCTCTCTTTTTTTTCTTTAATTGATTAAGGTATTACAGGTGTCCTTATCCCCCATGCCCTCACCCCCCTGGTGTCTGTGTCCATTGGTTAGGCTTACATGCATGCATACAAGTCCTTTGGTTGATCT